GCGAGGACAAATTTAGTGATTTCGCTAGAGAAAAACTGAGGAAATGAAAACTGGATCTGAGTAAAATACAAACTCGAACCAATCAATAGAATGAAGTTTAATATGACTGATGGGAGTGGCAAAGTCAGAGGATTTCATATTCAAGGAACGCGGACAACTGTTTTATCATCCGCGACGAAAATGTTAGGCTGAATAAATCAAACACTAAAAACAAGAGATGCCAAGTCAATGATGATATTTCTGTATCATTTTCTCTCTCCAAATTGAAATATTGCCGTATACTAACGGCTCCTTCATGTAGGTGAAATTGCAGAGCTTCTCAATACATATACTGAGCACTTATACATGCACTTGAATACTGGGAATCTTGGAAGTCCTCTGAAACTTTACTCTTGGAAAGAGGCAATGATGATGTACTACAAATCTACATTGAGAAATTCTAGAGGTTGATCCAAAACCTGTATATTGATTTAACTACATATGTAATGGCAATGGCTGGGCTGACGGTATAAATACTTCCATTAATAAAGCAGCGGGGCAATGGGTACACTGAGAACAATATACGAGTATGGGGACAAGATTCGTCAACACCTTCCCATTCGTGCAAAACAGGAATTACTGACAATTAACTAGCTGTCTTCAATGGGGAACACTTGGTAAGTTTCTCGAGCCAGTTCCCGTTCAACAGGGCTGTGGTGCTTACGTTTGTCTTGCGCCCGGCAGTCACTAACAGTTTAGTTGATCAAATCAGCAACCAAGAGGCTGGCTGCAACCGAGCCCATGTCCGGTTGACCCCCATAACGCAGTGTAAGAAATCAAAAAAAAATTTGTTTCACATTTGAACGTTCATGTAAAATAATTTTTACGTTTTAAACTCGTTAAAACCGATATTAGAATGTTCTTAGCAAACACACTTTTCAAGTCATCAATTGTGTTGCTTAACGAATTTAAGTTGTGCTACTTTTAAATGATCAAGGCTAGCTACAAAAAACATTAGTTATTTTAAGTTTCGATATTTTATTTAATCCAATACCCCAACGATCTTTAGATCAATACGTTGTAATATTAAAACAAGAACATAATGAGAGGGTAAACGTATGGCGTGGTCTACGATGCAATGGACAGTCCCTCATGGTAGACGACGGTTTTGCAGCTGGGAATGTGGCAAATAAACAAACATTACCACCGAACTCAGTCCAAGCAGATTTTATTACAAGCCCATAAGCAATTTAACGATGGACATTTAAACTAGGAGTTAGCTATAAATCTACGTACACTACTTACTGTTACAAATATAAAAACCCTCTGCCTTTGGTGTCGAGTCTTTTGACCACAGCTTCCATATCTTCGGATAACGTGCTGAACTGACCAAAGCCGGGTCATCAAATCAGCGATGTTTCAGGGAAAATCTATTAGTTACACGCTGACAAAACAAGTGATTATAGTGAATATTCCACTATAATCTTTGGATTGTTCTTGAAACTGATGTCGATAAACTAAATGATTAAATTTCATCTTTCGTTTTAAAGTAAATTTTTCTTTCACACATTCAATTACAAACGAAATAATTTATTATCTCACATGCAGGAAACCTAATAAGGTGATAAGCTATAAAATTTGCTATCGCTGTAGCACAAATCTGGTATTGAAACTCATTTCTTTTTCTTAAATGTAAGAAATAAAAATTCAAGTCCACGAATCTAATATTAAAGTACTAAGTTCCATATTTCAATGAGGAAGCTGGTTGGTGGCCGGAGCGCCAAGGAGCTACCAGCGTGGCTATGACACACTGGCACTTGAACCTTCACACTGCCAAGACAAGGAATTAAAAAACAAATTTAACAGTGCTGAGACGAGAAAGTGAACAGTTTACTGTACACATGGAATAATAAACTAATTTATTACGGAATTGGGACGACGTTTTCCTTTTCAATATATTTACCATAAACCAAGAATATTTTACACGTGTCATTTTTAGTTAAGCCTGCATTAGAGGGAATAAAAAAAATAGGCAAAAACTGAAATAAAATGTACTTATTATTTAGTCCTGCTGTTCAGCGATGGCATTTTCCTGTGGCAGCAATTGCAATTGAACTTTGGATCGCTTACAAAATCACTTTGAATTTACAAATGTGTACGTGTATAAGCATTTAAATATCTTAACCGGAGTTATGTTTATGATGCTAACCGATAAACTCAATGCGAGTTATTGATTGGAGTGAAGGCGCGCAAGGAGTTGGCTACAGACTAGCAAATTGTAACCTATTCTACTCTGCTGCAATATACACTTGTCTGCACCTCCTGTTCTCAGACAATTGGCCAAAACTAAATTAGTGGAATAAAACTGCACTAGAGTGAGGACTCGGGAGGTGAAAAAATCATATCCAAAGCTCTAACTAACTGCTTGTTTTTCTATAAGACAATTTTTTCATATAATCCGTTTTCTACAAAATGCCCATATATTAAAGAAAACCCTTGAATTTGGTTTATCACAACCCACTATGCATACGCTTAATTACTGACCTAATAAATTGTGGGATTGTCCTACAAAAAAAAAAAAATCCACCGTGTTCGGCGTATATTCGAGTCATGGTTATTGCGATGATTCATTCAACTCATCTTTAGCAGGAATGGGAGGGTAAGGATGCGTGAAGAGAGAAATGAAAGCTGGGAATGCGACCAGATTATTATTTTATTATTTATAATCAAGGGGGGAAGCGCTAAACCGGAGGATTATACAGCGCTGGAGGGGGGATGTGGAAGGCATTCAGGATTAATTCGGGGAAATTGGAGAACAGATCCTATTCCCTAAAAATCAAGAGCCTCACCAAAACATCAAGAACCTTCTTGAGGGGATGTGCGACCAGATAGTTATAAACAATGACAGCTCTACGCAGTACTTGTTGGACAGAGGACAAATTAGTGCGGAGTAAAAGTGTAGGTGACATTGGTAGTACGTTGAGTTTTAGGCCACAGATGTTGATACAGTGTACTTTAATTGTACCCAATGGCGTCGCTGCTCTTAACTGGACTTACTCCACACTTTCTACTATATCTATTGACCCTCATTTAATGAGCTATTAGTTCAAGGTCGCATCTGTCAAACAGCTTTCTAATTATCAGTGTAGATTACACCCAGTGTTTTGTTTTCCCTAAGCCTCAGTTATCTTGTCATAATTACCTACTTGTAGCTATAAGAACAGAACTATACCTGTGGTGTCCCATCTTCATGAATATACATGTATTTAGTATACGCTTTTTAAAACAATCAATTATTCCATCACTATTTATAAAATAATTTTCAAAGTAGCCCTTTGGTTCATTTTTTTTTCTTAGTTTATATCTGTGTCCTCTTGTAACCCCTGTGTAAGATACTGAAAAACTCCTCTACATAATCTTTTATAATCCTTGTTGCTATCATATTTCCTGCTATCAGCTAGCAAGATCAGTCTTTAGTGCTATCTTTCTGCCTAACTCACATAAGCTCGGGGATACATTTCGTTGTTCAACTTTTTCTGATATTTGTATTTGTATTGTATTATTTAACATTAATTAAACATTCAGCAGCATCATAGCAAAAATAAATATTTTTTAACAACACGATTGCTGCTTTAAAAGTAGCGCACTAATAAATATTATATATATATATTAAAATATATATATATATATATAAAATATATATATATATATAATATATATTATATATATAAATATATATATATATATATATGCGCGCACAAGACAAGCCACGGGGATGGGGGGGAATCTTTAACTCAAGTACTTTCGCACTTTTCAGTGCGTCAACAGGATCTGTGCAATGTTGGACGGCAGCAACAGGAGGGGAAGTTTTTCTCAGAGTAGCGCAGTGTGGGTATGTCACCAGCCACTGCGTTACTCTTGAGAAAAACTTTCCCTCCTTCTGTTGCTGCTTTGCAACATTGCACAGCCCCTGATAACGCACTGAGATGTACGAAAGTACTTGAGCTAAAGATCCCCCCCCCCGTGGCTTGTCTTGCGTAAAGATTGCCTGACTGCCTATATATATATATATATCTCCGAATACGTAAAACGGGTCAATTAGCAATTACTTATTTAAGATTAAGCCATTTCTATAATTTTCTCTTATCGTTTAAATATATATTTTTTTCATTTACGTGAATGTAAAAATTAATAATTTTGTCGTACAAGAATGGTATACAGTACCGAGAAGATGAAAATTAAGCCATTTGTGCAACATCCGGGTATCTTTAATGTAGACGTTTCGCCATCCAGTGACTTTACCAATACAAGTTCTAGGACATAATTTGTAGACAGAACTATATACAAAAGATGAGATGATCAGTCCTTCAGCCCTGGACTTGGTGTGAATAGCACTGTAGTTGCGGAGATTCTGGAGCACTACAGTGATCTTCACAGCAACTCCAAGGCTGAAGGGACTTTATTACCTTATCTTTTTGTATTATAGTTCTGTCTACAAATTATGTCCTAAATTTGTATTTGGTAAAGCCACTGGATGGCGAAATGCTACAATAAAGATACCCAGACGTTGCACATGTGTCTCAATTTAATAATTTTGTACCGAAAGAACCTTAGAAAACTTACTTAACTTATTATAACAAGCACAATTTAATTTAGCCTAATCTAACTAAATATATTTTAGTAAGTTTACAATAATTTAATAATAAAGAAGCACAATGAAATATATATTTTTTCGTTAGGTTCAGAAAGATTTTTGCCAAATTATTGCATACACAATTTTCGCTTGCTTTATTCGGCAAGAAGAGCGTTGTTATTTAAGCCAAAATAGCAAGTTTTACCTATTCGGCACGACATATATATAATGTATGTATATATTATTAGTGACGAGCATGTAGACAAAATGGAGGATATTGATACTGTAGACCAGTGTTAGTGTAGACGAGTGATTCAAGACTACAGCAGCAGAGTCGGCAGTGGCGAGGCTCATCCCCTTCAGTACGAGAGAAGAAAGTAATGCTTACTGCTCCACCTACTAATAAGTGCGCCGAAATGAACAGCACCAACAGAGGGGTTGTATATGAAGTTGAAAATCCCGGCCACGGAGATCATGGTGGAGTGTGGTGGCGGCGACGGTGCTTGAGATGTCAGAAGACGGCCCTTACCAGGTGGCACTCGTGATTCTGGCTCTCCAATACACACATCTGCTAAAATTACTATTTCTAACAACAGTTTTGTCCCACTCACTTTATGCCACCAAATATCAGCCTAGTATATATACCATGTAATCGTAAAACAGCTGACAGCTTGGTGTTCGCCAAAGATACAAGGCAGAGTATTGTATAAAGCACGGTCTAGTAACGAATATATCCTCACAAGTGATAACTGAGTACAATTACTAGAGACTTCAAAATAAAATAGGAGAGGTGAATGCAAAGTACACAGCGCTCGGCAGGCGGACACAAACTGCTGGGGCGTAAGGGGTAGGGTGCCAGGTGTGGATCACGGCTGCCACCTCCACAATCGTCACACTTTTCGGCACAATCTACTACACCTAAGACCACAAAACACTTAAAAAGGACGGAACGAAGATACTGTTGTCCACACTGTCAAGTGAAACCTATGGAATAAAAGGTCAAAGACAGTTTTAAAGAGACCCTCCCTTCCCCTTCACTATTCACAATACTCGTCGTCGGCAAACATAGTGACAAAATGAGCCGAAGATGTGCCGCCGTACCAGGATTTTGGGATATAGTGTGACTTGGAATAGGATTTCACTTGATAAGTATCCAAGTCTTCCAACAAGCAGAAAAAAAATTACACTTTTACTGGCAGGACGTGTAGTTAGGTCTGGGTATTCAACTACAATAAAATGTATCTTACTTGAAACAAAAAGACTTTATAGGGGATAAATCAAAGATATAAACGCCTTAAAAGTGTCAGAAGCACGCATAATTGACATTTTTACGGTGACACGTTAAGAAATACCTAACTCTGGCAAGTGAAAACTAACAATGACCCCCTTCTCCCCCCCCCACCAAACCCTCAATTCTCACCCGGGGTAGGACCCGTCCTAGCAAACCTACATGAACATGAACAGAGGCACACACGACAGTATAAAAATAATGCAGTATCAGGCATCCCGAAATTTCAGGCCTACTTTGGGAATGCAATACCTAGAACACTGCAACTATTGATATACTTGAACACTGGAGGTTATCCTCGTCGTCCACCTTTTTTTTTTTCTTTTTAAATGCCGGCTACTACCCAGGTGTTGGTGTCGAGTGAATATTATATAGTATACTAAAATTAGTATATAAAATATGAGTGTGTATCAGTGTGTAATGTAGCACAGGTGATAAACTAGTATCCCTTGTCAGATTGGTTGTAGAACTCAAGTAAATCTTAACCGACTTATCTGTGCAATTTAAAACACGCAAAATGCTATCTTAATCTGCTATTGTTACCATACAACTTCCTGATATCGTGACTAATTTACTGTCATAAGTCGATAGGTGGTAACAATTCAGAAAATGGCTTCCGTCTTGTCACAATGTTAGATTTAACTTGTAGCAAGATTGCTTGCCTCTTCCAGTGATCAGTAATTAAGACATACACTTCTTTTCGCATTCAATATGAATTTATGTTTAGTGTCTTATCTTTTAAGGGTTTTTAGTCCTGTAATCTTTACTTTCAAATTTATGAGGTCTGATCTAGGACCAAGTCGTGGGGGCGTTGACCTCAGGAGCAACCAAAGAAACTCAAAAATTATTACTCGCATTCTAAAGAACATCCATAATTCGTTCAGTTATGTCCTTTAAATGTCAGCTAATTTTGACGTAAGGAAAAAAATATCCCCACGATTTGTGACAAGAGAATGATACTGGATTCTTAGTTAGGTAAGCACCATGTGGGGAGAGTGGCATACCTCAGAGACAACATAACAAGGTAACCCCTCGTTAGACAAATCTCTCAAATCTCACATTCAGGACACAGCGTTGGGAGAGGAAAAAAGTAAACTATACTCCCTCCCCCGACCTAAGTAAAGCATTTCGCCCTTTGCCACCTTCCCTGAACATAAAAAATTTAGTTTTCTCACTTTTGCTACCCTCTCAAACATATCCCCCCCAAAAACCCAACAAAAAATTTTTCCCCCTTTTGGGTACCCGGGGTTTCCGGCTATTAATGACTAAAAATTTTTGGGGAAATCCCATTAGCATTCTTGTTTGTTTTTTTAAAAAATACGATGGGATTTTGGTAGAAAAAATGGAAACCCCAAACCCTGACACCCCAAAGTATGATTTAAACTTTGAGAAAAACACTAAAAGGCAAAAACCGGGGGGCCGTAGTATTTTTTTATTTCTATATCATATGTTCATCCCTTTTGGGCCCCTTGGAATATTTAGAAAAAAAATTTTTCCCTTGGTTTAATATTGGGGGAAACCCGCGTTTTTTTCCAAAACCACAAATCTTTTTTACATGCTTCTTCAATACTGTTTTCATTTAGGTCACTACATCAAAAATCAGTCTCAAAAAAAAAATTGCACACCAATTGATGGGGGAAAAGCTTTTAATGCAGTTTCAAAAAGCACTTCGGGGACAAAAATACCCAAATTTTTTTTCCAAAAAATTTATTTTTCAGGTCATAGCACAGCTAAATTAAATTTTTCATGGGGTTTAATTTTTTGATCGACCCTTAAAACGTCTAAGTTTCGTAAATTCCCAACTGTGAAAGGGTCTTTTTATTACCGATCCTGTTGCTCTTACCACATTTGCTGGGTATTTTTTCAGTCAGCCGTTTTTCCTCGTTTAAAACCCCTTTAATTGTTGCCTGCTGTCGCCTTCGACTTTAAATTTTATTAAAATCGGGGGGAAGGTTTAAACCCGGGGGATATACAGGGGGCCTGGGGGGGTTGTGGGGGCATTCAGGTTTAAATTCCCCCCCAAGGGCCCCCCCCCTCCCCCCCTTTTCAAACCCCCCCCCCCCAAAAGGGGGCCCCCCCCCTTGGGTTTTTGCCCTTAAAAAAAAAAGGGGAAAAAAAAAATTATTTTTAATTTATTTTTTTTTTAAAAAGGAAATTTATATTTTAAAGGGAAGGTAAAGGGAAAGTTTTTGTGGTTGGGGGGGGATTTTTGATTGTTTTTAAAAAGGGTTTGTTTGGTTTTTTTTTAAATGGTTTTTAAAGTTTTTTGTTTTGGTTTTGGTTTAGTGGGGGGAATTAAAAGGGGGGGTTTTTTGTTTTGGAAAAAATTTCTTAATTTTTTAGAAGGGGAAATTTTTGAGTTGGTTAATTTTTGGGTTTAAAAGGTTTTTATTTTTTAAATTTGTTATTGTTCTCCTAAACCCCATGAGGAAAAATTACAGCCGCTACTCTACGTTGGGGTTTTCCTTACCAAATACACTTCCTTTAAGTCACTGATAGCCTAATCATTAGTCTGTTAGTTCTGTTCCCAATTTGCATACCTTTTTGTGTTTTAAAATTTTTTTTTTCCGTTGGGTGCCCCTTTCCCCCTTTTAAAAATGAGGGCCAATGTCCCAAAAAAACTTTACGCTAACATGAATTAAAACGATCCTTTTAAAATGTTTTAAAAAATTAAAATAATGGGGCAACTAACAAAAAAAATGTAAAAAAAATTTAAATAAGGAGAAAAACTAAAAAAATGGAAAATAATTTTTCCCTAAAAACGCACCCCGTTATTTTTTTCCTTTTTACGGGTTTTAAAATGAGTAACGATTTTTCAGAAACTTATTTTTTTTTTCTGGGGCGCAACACCATCCCACCCTTTTTTAAACCCCTTTAAAAAGATTACCCCCCCCTGCTAAACCATGCCTAGTTATTAAGTGTATGTGCAAGAACGCTTGTGAACAGTATGCGAAACATGCTAGGCCATCTTGTGTGGTGCTATGCCTAATGGGTATATCCCATTGCTAAAAAAAATTGACGGATGGTTAATGACCCCCTTTAAAAACTAGAGATGCCAAGCCCATGACACTCTATGGGTTCTTTTTTCAAATCTAGGCTAAAAAAAAATGCTGCCCCAACAGCATTTTCGGGGGGGGGTAAACTGTTTGGCCCTTAAAAATGAAACATAGAACCCCACGACCCCCCAAAATGCGATAAAACCCAAAAATTACGGGGAAACAGTTTAAAATTTTCCTCACCTGTCCCCCCCTTTAACGCGGGCGGGAGAGATACAGGATTATATACATTTTAAAAATTTTCTAGAGGGATTAGTACCAATTTGCACACGAAAATCTCTCCCTTGAAGCAAAAGACGGCAGCGATGCAACAACCCCCTCCCCAATAAAAAGCAGGGGCCCCCACTGCCAAAAGAGAAAAACACAAAAGTGTCGGGGGCCCAAAAACTGTTAACTGCCCCCAGCATACTTTAAGGGGGATTACCAATAGCCCCTTGGCTGTCTTAAAGGCTTTGGACATGCATTTAAAGTCAGTACCGACCAGCCAGGCTGGGGTTCGTACGTGGGTTTTAAAGGGAGGGCCCAAACAGTAACAGCCTGGCTTCCCCCTAATTTTCCTTTGGGCCTGGGGCCGGGACCGGGCTGCAGGGGCACGCCCCGAAGCCTTCAGGTTTTACCCCAGGTTTTGAATATGATATGCACCCGGTTTGGGCATTTTCATAAAAAGTGTTTCCTCCCGGGAACCCAAACATTTAAAAGATAGGGGTTTCTTTTTAAAGGGAGGCACCCCAGTTTGCACGCCCGGGAAACACCCCGGCCCCTTAGACTTTGTAGCATTTGAAAATTTTTTTTCTGGGAGCCAGAAAAAGGGTTAAATTGTAAGACTAAAAAAAACCCGTGCCGGTTTACCTTTTCCTGGTGAATAAAATACGCCCTATTTCCCCTTTCCCCCTTAATTTAAAAACACCCCTGGAGGGCGGTAGCCGGATTTGGGAACTGATCTAGAGAAAACCATACATTTTTTCCCATCTAAAATTACAATGAAAGGTCATTCAGGGGGGTATATTAACGGGAATTTAAAAGGGGGTTTGACTAAGCTAGGCGGGCCACGCCACCTTGCACCCATTTTAACCAGGCTGCAAGTACGGGAGGTGGGGCAAGGGGCGCTAATTTTAGAAAGGTTTTGGGTTTTGACCCGGGATAACCCAAGCCAGCGGGGCACTGTAGTATGTGATAGAACAATACGCCCTTCCATTTACTTGGGGGGGGGGGATACAAACCTGGAGTTTACCTGGAGAGAGTTCGGGGGTAAAACGCCCCCGGGCCCGGTTTTAGCCCGGGCCTCCTGGGGGGTCAGAGCCTGAAACCCCGGCTGTTCTGCTGGTGCCCCCAAAACCCAACAGCAAAGTGAGAGTTAATAAATGTGGTGCGCACGGTAAAATTTCTCATTTTACTTTTTTTTTTTAAAAGGAAATTTTTACAAATTGTGTATTAATAGGGGATTTTAAAAGTTTTAAAAAAATTTTGAAAAAGGGACAGGTTTTCATGAAATACGGTAATTTTATTACAAAAAACCTAAACCGGGTGTGCAAAAAAATAAATTACTTTTAAAACTTCAAAGCAGTGTTCCTCAGAAAGATGTAAAATGTCGTGCCGAATGGGTAAATTAGTCAATTGCAAGAACTCATGAAAAATTAACCCTTTTTTA